TCAGGTGTCATCTTCATCCAGAAGTGATTTTTTGCAAAGGCTCCTAAGAATGTGGTTGTCCGTTTACTTTAAACTTCATAAATTAAAAATTATTTTAAAATTGTTTATTTTTGTATTTTTTCAAAGCAAAACACTGAAATTTGAAAACAGGAACAGGATTTCAGTTTTGTGAATAAGAGAGTGAAAGAAAAATTTCTAGTTGTTATGTCTGTTTTTTTTTTTTAATGCTGCAAGAAGATTGTTTTTTGAGATGACAAGATGAGATGACAAGACATCCTGGCTTTGAAAATATGGGTTCATTGCATGTGGCTTACTCTTCTAACTTTAGGAAGCCATTGCAGGTATGATTGTACTTAAGGATAAAATATCTGTATAAAAGCTTCAATGAAATAACCTGCTATCTTGCTCTTGGGCCAGAGAATAAAGATGGCCCCTGTGGCAGCCTGCTTGGAAGGCGAATGAGTAGAAAGCAGATTTTTTGGTGGAGTAGCTTCTAAAAAAGATGCAGCACCTTGCAAACATATAGGCTGTGAGCCAGTTCTCCTTCATGGCAGTGGTGCCACCACTGAATGCCACTAGGGACTGAGACGCTGACACTGTCTGAGGTGGCGGGAGGCTTTTTCCTCGACTGGCAAGACAGGGCCCCTTAGTGCTATAGATCAAAATCATCTTAAAATGAGTTTAAAAGCCAGGAGGCAGCTAACGCAAATGTCAGAGCATCATCTTAATGAATGCATGACAGGAAACTTCGCAGCAAGGGGCCATTTGCTTGCAGACCAGCTGCAGCCTCCAGACGGACTACAGCTGATGTATTATTTTTCAGTAGCCACGTGCTGTGGCAGCAAAGGCCCGTGCAGCAGTCTGGAGGTTTGTATCTGAATGCAGCAAGTACAACTCACCCACAGAGTTGAAAGCAAGGTAGCATGACCTTGGCAACCCGGTGATCCAGCGGAGCATCCAGACTGGATCCACAACGGCCGCGGTGTGTCCGTCACAGGGGCCGGTCATCTCCCTGCCGCATCTTCTGGGTGCTGTCCCTAACCAGGCAACGGCACCTCTGCCCTCCCTTGTTTTCCTGCCAGCCTTCCTCCTCCTCCCTCTCCTTCTACTGCCAGGAGTTGTTCTCAGGCCCCGTCCATGCCCTGCAGTGCCCACTGCCCCTGCAGAGGTGAAGGGGTAAAGCTGTGCGCTGCTCTGGTCACTGGGGGTAGTCGCCGTGTCTCCTTCCTCTCCTCGAGAGCCTCTAAGAGATGCAAGGAGAGTTTTTATGTCTCTGCAGTGCAGTTAGAAAGAGCAGTGATTACAATTAACACGCTGGAGAAGGACTGTAGGCACTGTTTTGCAGACCCCACCTCTGTGTGAGGTGGGACTTACTGCAGTAATGTGGGCAGGCAAAGACAGTGTGTGCATTCAAGCATCGCACAGCAAGTGGAAGTCTCTCCAGTGGTTTTCAACTTTTTTTATTAGTATAAATATTTTTATTTCCTCGCAACGTCAGGTCTCTTCAAGAGCTGGTGTACACAGTGCTCAAACTGAAAAATTAGCCTGCTCTTATCCTGATATCAACAGGAACTGCACTGAGATGTAATTGTGGTAGGGACCGGATAATGGCAATAATAGTTAGCATGTTAATTGCTTTAACTCTCTGAAGCATTTTGTGACTGCCTGATCTAAAAAGCCTGTTGTCCTGCCTGAGTGGTTAGTTTACATATGAGCTAATTCCTTCCAAATCCCAGCCTACCCGTGGGTGCACTATCAATATCCAAGGTAGGTTTTGAAATTAGGAGTTCCTGACTCTTTTTGTTTTCCCCTATCATAAGACACTGTCCGTCCCCTGCAGATGTTTAGCCATAGTGAGCCATGCTCACAATGATCTTATAGCAGATGCCAGAGGCATTCCTGGCATAAATGAAAATCCCATTTGGCTCAGTATCCCTTCTGATACAAGCAGTCCTGCTTTCCTTTGTTGGTAGAATTGTTTCAACACATACTGGTTTTCCATGGGATGCATATTCACGTGAACCCTACACCCACAAAGGGCTTGGTGCTGCTGTGCCCCTCTTCCCATCCCATCACGTTACAGGTTGATATCAGCACTCACCTTCTCCATATCCTATTCCGCCGTGATCAAGTGTGAGGCTTTTGCTCGCACGAGATGGCTGGGGTGGAGGACAGGCAGTGCCGGGAGTGAGGCTGTTGTACGGCTTCTTGTGCTCACGTCGCTGGTGAAGTCCGAGGGCTCTATAAGCCCACAGAAGTGCCAAGGTTCTGTATTCCAGGGACAGAGGGAACAAAAATAAGAAAGCAAAGAAAATAAATGTTGCATTAGTTACATAGACAATATGATACAGTTGACAAAACAGTGTTCTATCTAAAATTGTGCAAGAATTTTCTTTGAGGTTAATCTCAAAGTTTATTAAAGGTCACTATTCAGAACGACTGCATCAGAATTAAACATATATTCATATAATTAATAATATTATAAAAGCTCCCACCTTATTATTCAAATAAATAAAATCTATTGCTACGAGTGATGAAAGCATAAGCCAAAGTAATGTAAAAGAAGATACAGGCTTATATCTGGAATTGCAGATCCAAAATTGACTTGATAAAGTTAGTAAAATTTGGAAAACTAAATTGTTGGGGGAAAAAAAAAATCCATCAGCAGCTTAGACTCAACCATCTGTGATCAGAAGATTTTGTGCAGTCTTAATGGTGTAGCGTTCTGTCGGACCAAGACCATAATACATAATATGAGAGAAAGGAACCAAAGATTTTACAGATATGTACACAACTGGTTGTGAGGTGTAGAAGTGCCCAGTACTGGCCTGTCCTTTAAAGGACATTGTTTTCTGTTGATGTTTAATCTAAAGAATTTTCCGTTAATTGAGGTGAACCTGTGTAATTATTTTAATACAGTAATAGTGCTCTTACCCTGAGGCTGCGTCAAGGACAGGCTATGTGCATAATTAAAAATATATCTTTAGTATGCACATATGTAGTCCCAACTATATATGGAGGCACATGAACTTCAAATACGTGTGAGCAAAAGTAAGATCAGGACTACTGGTGGAAATCTTTCCACAGGACCAGAATATGGACCTTGTTGTATGCTGTTAATTTTTATTCATCAGTGGATTGTAGAACAATATAATTTGTTGTGGTGGAATATTTCAGCTTTTGTTACTCTGTGTGTCCACTAGTCATATTCACTAGTCCTTAATATCTTTTTCAGACTTTAATCACTTATATACTTTCTTTCAAAGTAGCTTACATAATCGGACCTGGTAATCAACAAGCTGAGTACCAGAACAATCCTTTTATCTGTCTTTCTCCATTCTTTGCTATGAAATAGCAAAAGTCATGCTTCAGACATCCTTGTTTTCCCCCACATTCAAATATACACAAAATAATGAGCCCGAAGGCATTAAGGACTACTTGCACCATAGAAATGTCTGTTCTGAAAACGAGACTCAGTACGTGCTAACTTTCTTCTGGGAGCATGCAGCTTTGTCTAAATCACACGCTACCGGCTTGTGGTGAAGTGCAGTGTTTTCAAACTGTACTGCTGACACAATTTTGAATTAGAATACCCTTGAAGGAAAGATATGATGCATCGGACTGTGTATCCTGCATATACTTTTCGAATTTTTCATAGACATATTTTGTAAATGCCTTGTTTAATTCCCTTGAGAGCTTGTTTGGGGAACGGAGAAGGTGAGACAGTGAAGTTAGACCTACCGAACCTTTAAAAAGCAAATTTCCAACTGCTGCCACCAAAGCTGAAACTCACGGAGCAGCCCGTTTCCCGGCAGCCAGGAATGCCGCGAAGCAGCCTCGGCCTCCATCCCACTTCCTAGAAGCGAGCTGAGATGGCGAGAGCAGGGCCGCGCTGGCAGACCAGGAAGCGCCGGCTGTTGCAATGACTCCTCCAGATACCCGTAACTCAAGTACGCACGAGCACTGCCCCGCAGGCGTGGAGCCGCCTCTATAAGACAACGTGCTCCGGCCACGCCGCTGTCACATCTTCTTTCGGCGGTGCCTCGGGTGGGAGAGATGCAGGTGTGCTGGCAGCATGAGAGGAGGTGAGGTAGGGTGCTGCCTCACTACAAAATGAAAGCAGGGGAGCTGCCAGTAGCAGTTGTCAGTGCCTGTAAAATGTTCTCTCTAGGCTCGTCTAGCACTTTTCTCTTCTTTTCCTTTGTTTTTCCCCTCTGTGGAGCAAGCCAAAGCTTTGAGCATACTAGAAATGTGGATGGGTGTGTGTGTGTGTGTGTGTGTGTGTGTGGTGGTGGAGGGTTAGGGTAAGGAAAGTGGAGAGTGTTACGGTGACATAGAGTATATGCATTCTGTGGCCATCATTCATTTCTGTGCAAATAACTAAGTTGTGACTTCTCTCTTCATATATGAAGGAGACAGAAATATGTTATTTGTGTAACATACACATGACATTTTGAAATTATGCAGTGATACTTTTTTTTAATAACTTTTGTTGAGCAGAACTAATTTGCCTTCAGTTCTGCAGTTAGTGATTTTCATAGCATCTTGTGTGCCGCCCTGTGTAAGAAGTGAATCTTGAACACAGCTAGTGGAGAAGAGGCAAATGCTTTCAAAATAGGAAAATTTGATTGAATGCTGGCAGGAGCTCAAAAGCAATTACATACTCTGAAGCGGTACTCTCAGTTCAGTTTTACAACAGAGTAAATGTGAGGGCAGCTGTATCCCCTTCAAATGCAATTGTTTGACTGGGGCAAGCACTGGTTGTATGGCTTTCTTTGGCTTGTGCTTCTTGCTTGAAGAAAAATTTTGAAATTTTTTGTATTTTTGCTGTGAAGCCTTCATTGCTTTTGAAAACTGTTAAGGTCACGTCGCTTGAGATTCTCACCTGAAGTCTTTGCTTCCTGCCTGTCACAAGTGGTTCTGTGTTACTGTTCATTATAGGATTGCTTAAATAGTCAAATTGGTTAGCAAAGAGCTTTTTTTCTCTTGTCTACCTCCAGAGATCACGGGTACATTTTCAAGGGAATCTGAACTGACCAGTTAAGAGGGATTCAGGATTCTGTCTGTCTTGGTGAGAGTCAGAGGCAGGAAGTGTCTCACTAAAAGCAGGTTAGTAGCAGTTATACCAAGGTTAAACTGATTTTGTCATTTTTTTAGACAATTGGAGAGAAAAAATAGTTGGTGTCAGTGGAGAATGGCAGAGGTGATAGGACTATTAGCCTCCGCAGAGCAGCAAGAAGGTTATTTATGTGAATGTCTGCTGCATACGCAGCCAGCTGGGAGGGAATGACAAGGTTCAGCATCCTTGATGTGAGGTACTCCCCATGGTTGTCCAAAGACATGTCCAGATGTCTTTATCTTGATGAAAAATGGTCTGTTCTCTGTGAGTTATAAATGTTACATTTTATTTTTACTCTTCCAGAAACGTAATTTGACTCACTGAAGAATTAGAACCGACAGCACCACAGAGCTGTGCGGGAGAAAAGGGGATTTTAGACTCAAGTGACACAATCAAGTCTTGAGAAGCAAAGAGATTTGGATGGTTTCTCAACAAATGGAAGTTATCTAGAAAGCCTCTGAGACCACTGCATCTCTCCATCCCATTCCTGCTGCACGGAGACGGTGCTCTTGGCCCTGGACGTTAATAAAATGCTGGATTCAATCAAGTGTGTCCTGGTGGGAGACTCTGCGGTGGGGAAAACGTCTCTCTTGGTACGTTTCACCTCCGAGACTTTTCCAGATGACTACAGACCCACCGTGTATGAAAATACGGGAGTGGATGTCTTCATGGACGGTGTACAGATTAGCCTAGGTCTTTGGGACACATCTGGCAGCGATGCCTTCAAAGGCATTCGCCCCCTCTCATACCAGCAGGCAGACGTGGTATTAATGTGCTACTCGGTGGCAAACCACAATTCCTTTCTGAACCTGAGGAACAAGTGGATCGGCGAGATCCGCAGCCATTTGCCCCGCATCCCCGTTCTGGTAGTGGCTACTCAGACCGACCAGCGCGACACGGGGCCCTACCGTTCCTCCTGCATCAGCCCGATAGACGGGAAGCGGCTGGCCCAGGACGTGCGAGCCAAAGGCTATTTAGAGTGCTCTGCCCTCAGCAACCGGGGGGTGCAGCAGGTCTTTGAGTACGCCGTGCGGACAGCAGTCAATCAAGCCAAAAGGCAGAACAGGAGGAAGCTCTTCTCCATTAACGAGTGCAAGATCTTCTGAGGGCCGTCGGCAGTGGTTTTGCCCGCGTTCGTTCTTTCCGCCTTCGCACAAAGACACTGTGGCAGAGAGAATGGCGGGCGAATCAAAGGAGGGCTCCTGGCAGGACCACGGTGCGGGTGCCTCTGGTGAGACAGATGTGCACTCCATCTGACCTGCTCCCCCCAGCACACGCCGGCACTGTCTTTTAAAACAAAAGGTGCAGGTCCTTATTCACAAGCCTGCGTTTGGACTTGGCTAGCCTGGACTGGAGTGGGCCTAGCCTGGAGATCTGCAGATAACAGCTGTGCTGATGTTGTTGTTGTTGTTTTTTTCTGTTGAGTTTCCTCAGTTGTTGGGTTGCCTGCATTTATTTAATGACAAACTTCTGCCTGGATCAACCCCCACCTCTTGACAAGTCTGTCCATGTGAAGTTTTTCAACTTTAAGGATTTAATGTATAAAATCTGACCACTGTGTATTCTATTTAAAAGACTCTTGTATACATTGTTGTAAAATCCTGACAGTTTGTTTTCATATTTTGGAGGTTCTTCCTTTAGCTAACCACAGAAACAAAATGTCCTATCCATATCATAAATGGCCAGCAGGCAAGCCTAGCACTTCTTAGACATGCCCGAGTCACTGTATAACAGTAATCAAATCCAGTACCTCCAGCATAGGAGTGATCAAAACTTAGTGACATTTGACAGCTGTCCTGTGGCTTTGTGAGATTTATTTTGTTATCTTAGTCCTGTTCCTCAGCAATGTGGTCAAAGATGGGATGAACCAGGAGGAAACTAACCTGGTTCTTCTTAGACCTCACCTGGTTACAAACCCAGAAGGGCTGGCTTGCAGTCAGGGCTGGTTTAGACATACAGTTGGGGTGGCAGAGATGAACCTGTGCTATCATCACCTCTGTTGTCCCCGCTGTAATGCTGGAGGCAAAGGATTTCAGTCTCCACGGATGAAAGGTATATTTTTATGAGCACTAAAATTCTTACATATTTTTAGTACAATTCTTTCTGAAACAGTGGTTTTAGTGAAACCAGTTACCTACTATAGTAAAAAACTAAGTACATGGCAATGTTGAATATGCATATTTAGAATGGCTAAATAACTTTTTTTTTTTTTTTTTTTGAGTTTGCATACTAAGTATAACTGCCAGGGTTTTATCAAAATAAGACTGAAACAGGCTTTGCATCCTGAGGAGCCTGGCAAGTCTAAGAGTCAAACCCTGATGTACCTACTCAGGCCAAGTTATCCTCCTGCAGAGAAAGCCAGGCTAAGGAGGTGGAAACTCCAGGTGTGTAAGAGAACTCTGCTAGAAGACGGAGTGGGGTTAACACGCAATTCTGTACATTCCTCATGAGTTGTGGTGTTCCCCTCCTCCTCAGGTTATCTGTCCGCTCTGTCCTCCACCATCTCTCAGGTCTTGCAGATCTGTCTCATCCCAAGCTTTCCGCTGCCATAGAGGAAATCCCCTGGGGGATTTGTTAGTGCATCAAGATTTTTTTACTCCCTTTCCCTATCCTTCAGCTAGCTCAGAACTGACCTTTGAGGGGCTTATAGCATGGTGCCATAAAAGATGGCACATAGCACAGTAGGATGATTCTCTCTCCACACGGATCCTGAGAGAATGACTCATGTCTGTTTTGGCTGAGCCCTGACTCGTGTGTTACAACAGGAATGGATGCAGTGGCTTGTCTGATTCAAATCCAAGGTGGGACTTCAGGAGTTGCCCTACTAAGCAAATAAGCTATAGCTCAGATTTTATCTATTTGTAGTTTGTCCCTGAAAAACTGTTTGGGTGCTCTTCTTCATACTCTATTCTGCCTCTGAGCTTCTCTATAAAGAGAAATTATGAATTAAATCATTCCCCTCCTATGAATCCCAGAGATGATCTCACCTGTGATGTAAGTGAGCCTGGTGGGCACCTCGAATATCTATGGTGCACAGGACATTTGATGGTGTGATCATCCTGCCAGCTCCCAGCCTGGTGAATATTTACCACTCATCAACCTGATTGTAAGGGAGGCTTCTGGTCATAAAACACTGGTCTCGTGAGTTTTTCACATCAGCTTTAAATCTTTACAAGCTTCTGCACCCATGCACACAAGATGAGGGCTCCCATCACTGCCCATCTTTCCTGTACTCCTCTTTCCTACTTCTCTTTCTCTTCAGGTGTTGATTGCAAATCCTTTGCCCCCTGAAACACTAAAACTGACATGTTTGTAAAATAACCTGAAGGACGTGATACTTACGCAGAGTTACACAAGTAGCTAGGTATTTGCAGTTCTTGGTTAAAAATCTTTTGGCTTTTGGAAGAAATATGTTTCTACATCTTAAATCTTGCAATGCCTCTCCACTGAAAGTTTTGGGGTTTTTAACTCTAATGTAAAAGTAGCCATTGTTACTGCCTGAACATTAAAGACCACATGCAAAATGTCACATTGTGAATCTGTGCATCTTCAAGTCTGTTACAATTGTGGACATTTTTGTTATGGTCCCCACTCCACTAATGGATTTAATACCTGATTCCAACTTTTTTTCAGACATATTTTTGCCAGCGTGTTCTATTAAATGGTCTTTTTTTTTTTTTTTTCCCTGTGGGTTAAGCTTTGTTTACAACAGTTCATGCTGCCGGTTTTATGTGTTGAAGAGCAGTAACTGCTAGAACAGGACACTGTGTCATGGTATCTGCCATTGGATGCTGGATTCAGGGACCAGAAAGTTCCAAAGAGTTGTTGTATCAGACAAAGCCAGATGAATATGAGCTCCAGAATCACACCATAACTGAAAATCCCATCTCATCCATATTTGTTTCACAAGGTTTGTTACGATGTATTACAAAATGAAGAATTCAAGGTTTGCTTGCAGTGAAGAAAAGTGGATAGGCTTCCCTGAGATGCCCAAGCTGATGATACGGGATGCACAGGGAATTTAGGGGTGCCTCAATATACTCTTGATTGTGAGTCCTAGAGCCAGTGCCAGGTGTGAGGCCACTGAAAGCTGGCTGATTTTAAAAATCAAATTAGAGAGAGGATAAAGTAACAGGGGGATTTTGGTTTGGTGCTATGTGAAAAAAAAACAGTTCCAATTTTCACAGCCTGGTTATTTTCAGACTCTCAAAGCTAAAAGGCACTTTTCACTGGGAACAAACTGTGAAGCACATTATTTTAGTGTCTGTAATTATGCAGTTTTCCCTGAGCTATAGAGCTGATGTACTCAAAAAGTGTGGCAACTCAAGTGAGGAGAGTGAAATTTGGACATATCAGAACTCAGCCGAAGATGTAGCCCAATGGCTTATTGGGGGGTGGGGGGGTGTTTCACAACAGCGGCCACGGTGCCCGTGGTGTGAACTGAGGGACTGCTGAGGTCTACCCTGCCGGGGAGGTTTTGCTAGCAAGAGGGTCACTGGGTACAGCCCGGTGCTAAAAATCTGGCTCTGATATTCAAAATAGATTCAGACGACAGCTGGGCACACAGGTTAAGTTTCAATTTCTTTTGCAAAACAGCAGGTTGGGAGAGACAGAAAAAATGTACAGCCCCACCTCAGTCGGTTCGAGTTGTTCAGCTGAGGGAAGAGACCTTGCCCAAACGTTCCCTTTCTGTCTTCTCAAACTGATCCCTTTCAGTTTGTTACTCCATTGCTAATTTTACTTTTGGTTGCTATTAAAATAGGTTAAAAGTTAAAAAAACAAACAAACAAACAAAACCAAACCAAAAACTTGGAACTTAAAATAAGAACAGCAGTAGCACTGTTATTTTTGTTAGCGTCTGGCTTCTCATTTTGACAGAAAGTCATTTTGGGTCACTAATTGTTTTACTGAATTCTGCAAGTTGGATAAAAAGTTGAATAGATATGCAATTGTGATTAAAATTGGAAACTATTCTTTTAGCAGAAAAAAAGAAGTATGTTCCTTTAGTAATTTGCAAAATGTGATGAGTACATGGTACATTATTTTAAATACAGATTTTCTGGCCTTTTTATACTTACTTGATCTGCAGCATACAATATAAATACTTTCTAAGAATAAAAATATGTTTCAGATCCCCCCTGGCCCCCGATTTTTCACACGGGAAATTATTCAAGTTTGTTAGATATAATTGATACTGTTTTGCCTGATATTTGCAATTAACAGTTTGCAAATATTTGTTCAATTTTAGTGGGTACTCTGCAGTTGCTAAGATGTGTGAACACATACTAGCTGATGCTTGTGTTGATAAAGAAAATGCATTTAAAGCAGTTTTTTAAAACATGGCACCACTATGAAATAAATCACCACAGGGATCAGACAGGAAGAAAAAAGAAATGCTGGCGCTCTGACATCTCAGCCTTTCCTGTATTACTATTGCATTCAAGTGAATATAGCCATTAAAATAATTTCAAATAAATGGGGCAATTCACATCTCTTAGCACGTTCTCCTGATGCCTCTGCTACACGGGGCTTAGGTTAATATACAAAGAATAAAAAGCTTCATTTCAGAACATCAGAATGGCTTGTCTGCTCTTTGTGAGCAATTTAACTACCCTGACTTAATTAAAAGTCAGTTCAGCCTCTGAAAAAAGCCAGTTATGAGCATAATTGGGTTAGCCAAACCCCCTTGCTCTGAAATGACAGTAATGAACTTTTGTCTCTGGATGTGAGGAAACATATTTTATGTCTCAGAGATTTCCTTCACAGCTGTAAGTGCAAAAAATCATGACCAGTTATCAGTGTGTACCTGTCTTAGCTGACCTGCGTGCCCTTCACATTGTGCTCTGAGCAGCCAGCTGCTGAAAACAAAATTCAGGGAGAAAGCAACCTTCGTGCATATCTAGATGTTTGCATTGCTGTAACTGCTTAGCTGTAGCTATGGTGGCCTTTCCTCTGCCCCAGACTTTCCCCTGCCCCATATTTCTGACCCTCACAGGTGCCCTTGCAGTAACAGATTTATTTTGTGTGCCATTTCTAAAATCAGCGTTTCTCTGAGTCATTACTCAGGCTTGGTTTCTGCCGGCACCACTGTGCTGGTAACATGGGCTGGAGGGTGCATCTCAGCTTCGCTGGACTCCAGCCACTGCATTTTGGGGTGGGGGGTCTCAAAGCACCAGAACCTGTTGCACATCCCTTCCTGAGCACGGGGAGCCGGCCTCCAGCCTCGCAGGGATCAGCTGCGAGAGCTCTGAGTTAGTTATTAGCAAAACGAAATAACAGCTGTTGCTGCCTTTCTGGTTATGAAGAAGTGAAGCAGCGACATGCTTGCCTCAGGCCTTTCACAACCGCCCTACATAGGGCTGGCTGGGGGGATTTCTGTCATTACTCCTCTCACCTTGGGGCAGCCGTCAGTATGATTCATGCAGGGGTGGAGGAGAAGGGCACAGGCCTGGTGTGTGGCGGTGGTTGTTCCTGTCTCTGGAAAAGAGGAAGGAAACGACGACCAATGCCTCTGCACGGCGTGAGGTGCTCGCTCACCCGCGTCTGCAGCGTTTCCAAGAAGCCTCCGGCGGGCACCGGCTCCTGCAGGCACCCCAGCAGCTCCCAGCCGTGCCTCGGAGGACACGAACTGACCCGGTCTCTCACGCCGAGACCCAGATGTCTCCCTCCACCCCCTGGGTTGCCTTCCCAAAAGGCTCCATTGCTGTTCAGGTACCACAAAAAGGTGAGATTTTTCAAAAGAGCAGGATTTGCTTTTATAAATCAAGAGCCCTTGCAAATGCCGACTGCCCCGGATGTGATTAAAGTGTCTGCTAGCCACAGGCAGGGCCACAGTAGCCAAAGGCAGGCGGTCAGCCCCAGCATGCGAGGGAAGAAACCCAAGACCTCAATGTGGTAGATGAATTAATGATATAGAAGCAACTGGAGGGACACTATGTGTCTTATATGCCAAATCTCTGGTAACACATAAGCAACTGCTTTCTCAGAAAACTCTGCTCCTCTTATACATAAAACGCTAAGTGACTTTCTGGCTATTACCTTGACTAAATGCTTGCATTTATCTGCCAACATGTCACCAGATCTGCTGCTTAAAATCCAGTGACAGTGCCATCCTACTGTGAACGACGGAGTGTTCTACACAGCATGCATCTGAATAAGGGCTAAAGGTCACAGGATTTCACCAGAGACTGTTTTAGGGCTTCTAATAGATCTTGGACATTAAAATATATGCGTATATTTGACATTATAATGTGGTATGTGGTATTTGTGCTGGTACCTCATCCATCATAGAGTTATTGACATCCTAAACCAGAGCTTCAGCCTTGGCTCATGATTAAGGCTTAGACAATGAATGCTGCTGTTTAATCCCTCTCCCATCACGCAGCACTTGGCCAAAGCCAGGTGGGGAGCTCTTAAATTTAACCAGGCTCCAGGCCAGGCCTGTGTAAGCCTGCACAAGTAACGCAGCTCCAGACTGACCGCTGGTGTAACTGTCCCGTTCAGGGTCACCTTGACCCAAATGCATTCACGGTGCCTGAGCCTGCTCTCCATGGCTGGCGGGTGAACGGCAGGAGGATGAACTGCAGACATCAAACACGACTGCACAGACACCCTGGCTGTCCCTGGCCCTGCTGCCCCAGCTGGGTGGCACCGGGCGAGCCACGGCTCTGCCTGTCCCCCACCTGAAATGGGGAGATGGCAGGTAACCTTTTATTAAAGTTATTTCGGATCGTTCATGAAAGATCTTGGTGCTGGTGGGTACTTTTGAGTTTGCCAGGTCCTAGCTCCCCTTCTGAGACATGTTCCTGCTGACAGGTGTGACCTGCAGAATTTGCTCTGAATGGATTTGTAACACAGTCTCATGAGATTAGCGCTTTCCAGTGTTTCAATTCACTGGAGGGAGTAGGTAAGCATAAGGGACAGGAAGAGATAATACATAATGATGCATTAATTACTTGACTGTTTTAACAGATCGTAATCACAACTATCAACGTAACGCCCTTTTTAATTGTACAAAACATGGGTATGGGCTGAGCTAACATCTGATTCATCAGTGAGGTGTTTAGAAATCAAAATGTCCCTGAGGGAGTTATGCTGACTGCTGGGTGGGTAAAGCAGAGGGAAAGTCTCTCCATACTTACCCCTTCCCCTCTTTCTGGAGCATGCTCTTGCATTCACTGTAGTGACTGGACTCTGGGCTGGACCGATCTTGATGTGTGTAATAGGGACATTCTTACAGTAAGGATTTAGTGCCCAGTCAACAGATGTCACTGAAATGTCATCACCTTGAAAACATTCCTATTTCCTTTATGGGTGAACAGAAGAGGCTGATCACATCCTGAACAAGAATTTAGGTTTAGCACCATCAGGGAGAGTAGCCATGAGTTGAGCAACTGCGGTCTTTTCACCCTTAATTTCACCCTTCCATGGTATAATACTGGGGATAAAATACCAGTGTTCTCCAAACTGTTCCTTTGTGGTGGGAAAGATTTTTTTTTCTGCAGTGGGAACAGTCAGGGGTACCCATAT